CTATTTCCACTACCTTTTCTAGGGAGCAGGGGATTGGCCTTCTACATCCCCCTGTTCCATTCCAATCCTTTCTATGTCGAGTGCCTATTTTTACACTCCTGGTCCTCCTTTGCCATGTGATCTGGGGTTGGGATGGATGACCTTGTGGGGTCCCTTTTTCTGGCATGGCTGACTGAAAGGGCTTCCGAGACTTAGGGTCTTTCGGTTGATCCCATGCCCTGTTTTGGCCAAGAAAGGGGAGGGGGATTTTCCTTCTGATTACCTGGTTCTTTAAGCTGAGGTTTTACTTCTCTGTGGGGAGGGGGAGGGGGCTAATTGGACCTTTTGGCAGATCTTGGTTCCTTGGTTTACACATGTGGTTGGAGTGTCCCAAAGTTAGAGCTTTCTGGAATGCTGTTTTAACCCAAATTTCAGATATTGTGAAACAACCTGTACGATTTTGCTCAGGTCTTCTAATGCTATTGATTTACAAAAAGGACAATAGACACCTGAAAAATCAAAACTTATCACATTCCTCATCTCAGTGTCCAGACTTGAAATCGCAAGATGTTGGAAAACAGATGATGATCAACTGAGCAACTGGTGGAAGAGGATTTGGAACACACGGTTGTCAGAAACTCTCCTACACCTTTAGATTTTGCAATGGACAAAAGGCACACAAATTTTTTGAGGCTTGGTCTGTTCTTACTGAATATATTAATAGCAACATGAACATTATTGGACTCCAACCCATCAAACTACCTTTTGGAGATCTTGTAGCACCTTTGAGACTAACTGAAAGAAAGAAATTGGTAGCATGAGCTTTCATAGACTTCAGTCTACTTCCTCAGATGCATTTGGTGGAGTGGAGGCCAGGCACAGACATATACATCTGAGGAAGTAGAATGAAGTCTGCAAGAGCTCTCTGACAGAGAAGGCTCAATGTCTCAGAAAAAAAACAATTCCCATGATTCCCTAGCACTAACCCTAACCCTAAAAGTGGACTCAATTTGCACTATTTCTGGCAGTCTGCAACCCCCCCTTAGTCTCAAAGGTGCTACAAGATGTCACTACATGCTGATTCTACAGACTAATATGGCATTATCTTTTGGAGAGACACTCTAGAACCAGTTCCACCAGCTGCCACAGAATGAGATGACACCCTGGACTCTCAGTGTTACTCCTATCCCAGGATAAATTGTCTTCCTGTAAAACTCTTTTTGTTGACTCCCCAAGGCTCATAGAATATGTTTTGTGTTGATTATATTGATTGTTTGCAAAACTATTAATAAAATCCATTTTAAACTTTTTTTAAAAAGATCTCTCTACATACTAACACGCCTATATCTTTAAATTCTTCCAAAACAAAGAACTGCAGTCTTGCTCTGCAGTTTGGGAACATTTAATAGATGATCTCATTATCATCTGAGAAAGTAATCCAACTGAAGGTTTTAACAATTCAGTCAGCATGAATGAACTATTATTGCAAACAATGGCCAGCCTTGAGGGCATAAGCCACTGCCAGAGGAGGCTGAAGCCAGTGAATCCATTTTGGGCTTGAGCTTTGAACGTTCAAGGAGCTATCCAAGGTCCTGAAACCAACCAACCCTCATAAATCTTAGCACCTTGAATAGCTTCCTTAAAAGGTCAAAGTAAAGTCTGGATTAAATTCTCTGTCCCATAGAACCATCAACCACCACTTAGCAATGCTAGGTTAAACTGCCCAATCTAATTACATCTATTATCAGATATGTATGGGTGGAGTAAAGAGCTGTGAACCTGCCTAGACAACTGGAATGCAAATTCAATGTTCAGTGCAAACAAACATGGGGAAGGAACACAGGAAATTCTGTCAATGCTGCAATAGGATAACTTACTTTCAAAATATATTATGAATGGGCAAAGGATTAATTTATTATCAATCCAGTAGACATTGGATTGTTTACAGTAAAACCTGTAAATCACAAACCCCCTCCTCCCCCACAATATTCATCTTGCATGTCTCCAGGATCCCACCAATGCTTTTGAAAATCTTCAGACATAACAAAAAGGAAACCTTAATCATATGGTGTTGATACAACACTCCAGTAGTTGTTGTTACCCTGATCCCTCCTGGTTAGGGTTAGGGTTAGGGAATCATGGGAACTGTATTTTATTGTGGCACCAGAGCTCTCTGACAGAGAAGGCTCAATGTCTCAGAAAACAATTCCCATGACTCCCTCACACTAACCCTAACCCTTAAAGTGGACTCAATTTGCACTATTTCTGGCAGTCTGCAAAGGCCCTATTAGTCCACCAAGGCAACCAAAGCAATCTCATTTAAGCCCTCTGCACTGCTGCTTCATATACCAGCTGCACTAAAGAGCTTCATCCAGAAGGCCAGGCAAAGTTGGCCTAAGTAACAGTGTGAACATTGTGTCACCAACACACCATGATTTATCTCTCTTATCTTGGTGATCACAAAAAGCAGCATTCACAAAGAACCTCTCACCTTCCTTGCAAACAGTGGGAGATGACTTAAGACTGTCCTCTGGGTGGTTTGCACTAGATAAACATGCAAACAGTTTAGATAAAAGTAATAGAACATCCTGATGAAATGGACTTTGGTCCAGGAGACCTTCAGCTGTAGGAAAAGTGTTCCTCTTTCTTTACTGCAATTGGTTAGGGGGACAGCTTTCTATAAATTCAGAATAGGTTTCCCTCACAGGAAAACAACTTTTATCATAAATAAAGGGGGGAGAGGGAGAAAGAAGGGGAAAGCTTCAAAAAGGCTGTTAAGACGGATCTCTTCTGGCAGGCCTTTCCAGAATAGACTTCCTGGCCTCAGGAACCCCCTTATTCTGCCTTCTTCCAACTTGGATCCCGCCGCTACTGTGCTTGCTTTTTATATTTTGTTGCTCATGTCTGATTTTATTGTATGTTATTTTTAATCTATGATGTTTTAATTAGTATTTGGTTTAATACTGTTTTAAGGGGTGGGTGGGTATTTGGGTCTTTTTGGGATTTATATTGTATGTATTTAATTGTTGTTAGCCGCCCCGATTGTTCTCAGAGGAGCAGAGTATAAATAATTATTATTATTATTATTATTATTATTATTATTATTATAAGGGGAAATTACTGTATGTATGATTTTAGGTGGATACTCATGCAGCTTAGCATAAACTCAACATACTCTAAATCAGGGGTGGGCAAATGTATGGGATGAGCAGGCCATAACTGGCCCCCAGATGACCTCAAGAGGCTGTTTCCTCACCTACACCCTCTTTCGAATTACTTCCCACTGTCGATGTTTTCAATCTAGTAACTTTCGGCTTGTGTTCTGTTAGAAAAAAAGGCCTCCAATTGGCCTAAAAAGTGTCCATGTGGGAGAAAAACCTCATTTGAAATGTGGTGCTGGAGAAGAGTACAGCCAGAGTGGTGTAGCGGTTTGGCTGTTGGACTACAACTCTGGAGACCAGGGTTCGAATCCTGGCTCGGCCATGAAATCCACTGGGTGATCTTGGGCAAGTCACATGCTCTCAGTCTCAAGGGACGGCAATGGCAAACCTCCTCTGAACGAATCTTGCCAAGAAAACACCACAGGGTTGTCATAAAACGGAAATGATGCGAAGCTGCTCTGAGAGCAATTGTTTCTGAAGAGTGGGGCATAAATACGGTACAATAAATACAATACAATAAATACAAATTCAATGTATAAATACAATACAATAAATAAAATCTAAGAAAAATATGGTTGAGTATATAATAAAATACAGTATATGTAGTCAGTGTAGTGGTTTGAGTGTTGGACTACAACTCTGGAGACCAGGATTAGATTCTTAGCTAAGCCATGAAAGCCACTTGGTGACCTTGGGCAAGTCACACTCTCTCAGCCTCAGGGGAAGGCAATGGCAAACCTCCTCTGAACAAATCTTGCCAAGAAAAACCCGTTTTAGGGTCGCCATAAGTCGGAAACAACTTGAAGGCACAAAGCTGTATAGAAACCCTATGAAATGAATGTATATTTCTATCAGTGTTTTTAACTTTTATTTGGCCACGTCCTCTGTTTCCCCCCCAACTGTCCTCCATTTCGCAGTGCCTTCTCCTCCTTGGCCGTAAAGAGGATGTCTCTAGATTCCCCCAGACCGGCGTGTACAGGGTGATGGGACATCCTCCTTTCCCAGGACATGTCCTCCATTTCCACCTTCTGTCCTGGAGGAATTACCAAATGTCCTCCATTTTGATCATGACTAAGAAGCAGGAATTTACTTTTATAGTAGTGTTTTGGTTTGGTTATGTCCTCCATTTTGAGCATGCCTCAGAAGATGAATTTGCCTTTATAGGGGTATTTCGAGCTATTATTTGTCATATCCTCCATTTTGAGCAGGACAAAGAATCATGAATTTACTTTTATAGGAGTGTTGTGAGCTTTTATTTGGCCATGTCCTCCATTTTGAGCAGGGCTGAGAAGCATGAATTTACATTTATAGGAGTGTTATGAGCTTTCATTTGGTGTTTTGAGCTATTATTTTGTCTTGTACCTTTTCCCACAATGCCCTCCCTTTTGAGCATGCCTCGGAACCATGAACGTACCTTTCTAGGAGTGAGCTTATATTTGGTCATGTCCTCCCCTTTTCTTGAATGCCCTCCATTTTGAGCATGACTGAGAAGCACAAATGTACCTTTCTAGGTGTGTTTTGACCTTTTACTTTGCCATGTCCTCCCTTTTTTCTTGAACGCCCTCCATTTTGAGCATGCCTCAGAACCATGAATGCACCTTTCTGGAAGTGTTTTGAGCTTTTACTTGGCCACACGTCCTCCCTTTTTCTTGAATGCCCTACAGTTTGAGCATGCCTCAGAAGCACCAATTTACATTGCATGAGTCCTTTGAGC